AATCTCCCTATTGTAGTAATCGCCACCCGTGATGCTTGTTTTAGGTTAGTCTTTAATTAATAATAAGAGTTTCATGACTGTGAATGGCAGTCGTTTAAAATTTGGTTGGTGTGCAGCAAACAACAATCAGTCATTCAACAACTTCATGCACGGAAAGGTCGACTGATAGTGATGTGCACAGAAGGAGATGCAGCATCTGTTTCTGTTGGTGGATCATGTCGAGTTATTGAAGTTCCACAGGTTGCGGACTGTTTGCAGCCAGTAATCAATGTAGTTCCATTACAGGTAATGTCTCTACTCTGCTTAGGCTCATAATTCAGTGAAATAAAAACTTCTAGTGACTATTGGGTGGCAACTATACAGTATCGGAATTATTTTTCGCCAAAAACATTTTTGTTGCGAATACATGTACTGTTTCTAGCTAGCCCTTTCTGTGTAGAATTTATTTTATCTTGGATCTGTGTGTGCATTTGGGTAAGTTTGTGGAAAAAGTGGGAATCTGGAAAAGTTTGTTCCTCATGATACAAAAGCTATTGCAAACCCAAACTTAATAAATATAATGGGCAAACTCTCTAACAATTTAAGCTTTTAATTGAGGCCGTTCACACAATTTAAAATGATACCAGAGCAGATAGAGGATGTTTGGGGTCTCGCCACCACCATTTACGAATTTTTTTATTTATTTATTTTTTTTTTTGATTTTCACCGGGTGTCTGAGTCTCTAAGAGCCCCGACTAATCCCGGGGTGCACAGGCCCTCGGCAAGGAGTTTCCCGCAAGTGCACCACGGTTAATTTAGGTTTTACCCAGTCCGATGGCCCTCAGAAATTGTTTGCACCCAGTGGGTTTCGAACTTGAGACCTTGACACCATTTACGAATATTTCCACACGCTTGGCCTAAAAAAAGAATCAAGCATGGACGTAAGGGACTTGTCGCAGACCTAGAATAGATAAATAATTATGTTAACTCTCTAATAGCTTAAGATTTTAGATTTGTCTGTTCACATAATTCAGTATAAGCTAAAGCTGCAATTCCCTTAAAGAGGGGCAGCCCGGTACACAGCTTCCCGCATTCGCACAGGGTCCGAGGAAGGGCCGCAACCCAATGGCGTGTGATGTAAGCAGCCTACCCTCATCAGTAGTTGATTCCACGGCTCGAACCCGTGACCTATAGATCACAGGGAGGCAACTTTACCATTGCTCCAAAGCTGCAATTTCCTGTGTAATCATGGAAATTAAACTGCTGGCATTATACGGCTTGACATGCATCTCCTAGCTGGATTAGTAGATTGTTACACAAATCTACTTCCTCGCCAAGGATTGGGGTATCAGGATTCTGTGTACCAATATGTCTGCACTTTCATAAGTTTTGGACTGCATCCGTGAACTGGATTACCCAACATTTCGGTAGACAACATGTAAGGCATTTTGGTGTTGTCTGATAAATCTTTTAGCCAGACGTGCATATGAACTCTGCATCTTTTCGTTCATTTGGGATAAATATTTTCAGCCTTGTTGGCCTCTAGTTGGCCTGGAATATAACAGGATAGGACTTGAAAACTAGAAGTATGTCAATTTTTTGTTTAACACTTTTCAATGTGAATCAATTATAAATTAACAAATAGGGTTATTGAGCAACGTCATGTCTTGTCTATTTGATTTGTAACATAAATTTCCTATTCCTTTGATGGCTGGGTGATGATTTCATTAATGCATATAACTAGCGATATGGTTGCCTCTCATTTTACATGTTCAATCTATGGCACTCCTTGGACATCTTTTATTAGGTTACTCTAGTCCTATTTTCAGTGACAAAATTGATGCATGTTTGTTAAATGTCATTTTCCAACAAACAAAAGCAAAACTACCTCTATGTGCCTCAGCCACTGAATAAAATGAAAAGAACACTATATGGCCATAATGACTGGTTCAAGATGCAAGCTAAAGATGTGTATATCTAGATATACCTTTAAACTAAGACCATAAATTTGAAGTCCTTAAAGTGGGGTTCTTTTGGTTGCCTATTACATTATTTTAGCCTAAAAAGGAAATAATAAGTGTGCAGTAAAGTCAAATAAGACTAGTGTGCACTTATCTAACGTTACCGTGTAAACTTGAGTATTCATTCAATTGGAAATAGCATCTACCTGAATTATGTAGCAGTTTGAAATTCTTTTGAGTTGGTTTGATCACATCTCCAATGATTCAAACCATGAGAACTTATCAGGTCCCTTCAATATAAACACTAAAGCGCTTGTTAACATATTGTATAGCAGGACCGAAACTAAGGTGCCAAGATCATAAATTTTTCACTTTGTGGTTTCTATTGTTCTAATACTATTTGTATTATTTTGCCACACTAGATTGGCAGCTGTACAGAATTTTCTCTCTCTCTCTCTCTCTCTCTCCCCTTGCTCTGATTTCTACCTTTAAACCACTGAATGCCATAAGTAGGCAAAATTTCTCTCAATCTTTACCGCTTACTTGGTCACAGCTTCATATCATGTAAATTTTGTGTTATTTTTTAAAAGCCTGCTAGGGGCCAAGAATCACTTAAGATCATATGCAATCTGATAGACTGGCATAGCTTACACCATAACATGCATTTTTCATCTTCTTCGAAGTTCAATCCCCTCACCACCTCCTTTTTTTCCCTCACTTCCCTTCACTCGATGCACTGATCATTTAGTGGCCTAGCAGAATTCGCAGGGATGTTGGTAAATTAAGTGAACTTTCATGAATCATGATAGTTGCTGTGCAGCAGATTTTCTTTTGCTCCAGTAATATGCACTCTGTAAGCTTATTTTTTGTTTGAGATTTTACAGCCAGCTTACTTATTTTCTTCTGTTTGTCATCTCTGTCCTGCTCAGTTATTGGCCTATCATCTGACTGTACTGCGTGGATACAATGTTGATCAACCTCGCAATCTTGCCAAAAGTGTCACAACACAGTGAGCTAACCATTTTCAAAGTCTTGAGCTATGTTCAACCTCTACCACTTGATGACAACAATTAGTTCTACTAGTACAGCTTTTGACTCCTCCTACAGGCCGCATTGACCCGAACAATATATTTAATTCACTTTGTAACATCTAGGTTCTGTTTTCTGGGTAACATATTTAACATAGCGGTGTTTTCTTATTAGTGATTGGTTATATAGCTGAGCTATTCTTGTAGACTAAGAACTATGGAAGGAGGATAGATGAAGATCATTTGGAGCAAGTCTCAAGAAATTTCTTTTGATTAAGTGTATTTGTGTTACTGTTGATGTGGCAATAGAAATGAGAGATTGAATTTCAATGAGTGCATTTCAGGAAGAGTACTCTGTGATGTTCAAAGTTTGCAGTGAATTATCGTAGTGTATTTCTAGTGGTGGTTGGTTCATTACCTTTCCCAAATAAGACATTTATTGTTTGACATTCCAATTGAGAAATGTCATTTTGTATCGTTCTCTTGAAATATGCATATACTCCCCCGTCTCAAATTGTGTTATGATTTCTAAAATTAGTTGTCTCAAATTATTTGTCATTTTTAGAAGTTAAGGAGTAAATTAATTATTTTTTTTCTATTCTACCCTTAATATTAATTGTTCTTGAAGACTACAAATACCTTAATTATGAGTAAGTATTAAATGAAAAGAGATTATATTTTAAGACATAAATAAGGGTAAAATAATCAATTTTTTTATTTTATATTTTCTTAAAAGGCGTGTAAAGAGAAATATTTTGAGACGGAGAGAGTAATTAATGGCCTAACTTTCTATAAAATTTGAGAAATCAGTGTTCTGAAAATTTGATGCGTTGATTTTATATTCTGAGCCCATTTCTTTTTTTGGTTAGAGGAACAAATTATTTTTCTTTCCTCTTCTACATTAGATATTTTTTTTTCCGATTCTTTTGTAAAAACAAAAATTATACGGATGGTGTCCACAAGGTTGAGTTGAATAGTCAGCCTAGATTTTTTTTTTTTAAATTCTTTTGTAAAAACAAAAATTATACGGGATAGTGTCCATAAGATTGAGTTGAATAGTCAGCCGCGTCCCATCCCACGCCACTGTCTATCATTCCATGATTTTTTTTTTTTTGGTAATAAACGATTTATTCAACAACAACAACTAAGAGTTATTACAACTAGAGCTCAGTCTAGATAACATAGTGCCTAGACTATCTCTTTTTCGAACATGGATAACAAAAACAGGCGAAACTACAAAAGTTTGCAAAGTACAAAAAGTGTCCAGGCTGCAACCATTCTTAGCTAACAGGTCCGCTACTCCATTAGCCTCTCTAAAGATGTGCTTCAGCTGTAGATCATTCGCCTTCCGTAATAGGTACCTGCAGTCATCAATTAAATTTTGGTAGAGACAGTTATTAGATTTTAGGAGGTTTAATAGTTCCAAGCAGTCCGTCTCTATTACTAGTGGAAGGAGTTTTTCTGTTAGTGCTAGTTTGACTCCATGGAGGAGGGCTAGGATTTCCATATATATGTTAGTAACATGGTTAAGACCCATATTGAACCCTAAAATCCAACGACTTCTTTCGTCTCTAAACACCCCCCCCTATTCCTCCCACTCCTGGGTTTCCTACGCAAGAGCCATCGATATTCAGTTTGTAAAAGCTGGGGTTGGGTGGTTCCCATCTTACAAAGATAGTTTTCTTGGTAGGTTTTAAGCAACGGTTTTTTGCCATGTAAAGGAATTTCATGGCCATATTAATGGGTTGACTTTTGGTGATGGGTGTTTTAATTCCTCTAAAGAGGATCCCATTTCTGAAGTTCCATATATACCATAGGAGAAATGGGAGAAAATCTGACCAGCATAGGTAATTATTAAAAAAGACCTTGGACAAGAGTTTGTTTTTAAGCCAATTATGAAGGGTATCTTTTCCCCCGTGATTCTGAGAGAACGAGTGTTTTGTATTGATTTGATACCAGATTTGTCTAGAGTAGTTGCAACGGAAGAAAATATGTTCTATGTCCTCAGTTTCCCTGTTGCAAATGTTACAAGTGTCTTCTTGGCAAATCCCTCTTTTTTTTAGCAAATCTTTAGTGGGTAGCCTATCCCAAAAGATTGTCCATAAGAAATTTTTTAATTTGTTTAAAGAGTTGATTTTCCATAGCCAGGCTAAGTTTTTCCCGTTGCCTATAGATTCTGAGACAGCTTCATAAGCAGCTTTAACTGAAAAGAAGTTGTGATCCTTAGAGTTCCAAGTGTATGAATCTGTAGTGGGTCCGGTTTGTTTTATGTAGGTGCAGTTTATCTTAGAAACGATATCCGGGAGGAGTTCAAAGGATAAGTTTCTAAGGTCGAACATTCCATTTTTAATAAAGCAGGAGAGATTTTGGTCAAGCTCTCCAGCTGGGATAGGGCCTTGGATGGAGTCCCTGAGTGTTCCTGATTGATTTATCCAATTATCATGCCACAGATTAATGGTTGTTCCATCACCTACTAGCCATTTAATATCGGCGTTGCATATTTCAGTATCCTTTTTAATTATTTTCCAGGTGTGAGCACGTGATTTTTGCTTCATACGAATTACTCCAAAATAATTCCAAAAAAATTAGGTTTTGGCTTTGATTATTTGTTATTTTTAGGAATTATTGCGTGATTTTTCTGATTGTTTGCATATGTTTGTGTGCATGTTTAATTTTATTAATGCATTAAAAATACAAAAAATATAGCATTTGCATTTAAGATTTGATTTTTTACATTTTTGGAATTAATTAATAATTAGGTGTTTTACAAAAATGAAAATTCACAAAAAAAAAACATATTTGTATTTTGGTCAAATTGTGTGATTTTCTTTTAATTTAGTATTGCATTATTTGTGATAATTCAGAACTTAAGAGATTGTTAAAAATAGAAACTTAAGGGTAATATTAGGGATTGTTTAACAAAAAGGGTATTCACCTAATTGAGAAGCTTCTCAATAGTGGTAGGGTTAGAATTACACTAGCTAATTTAAGTGGACAATTAAGAAATAAAAAGCTGAAAATGATAATGGGAATGACACTAATTGATTAATTTAGAGAAAATAAGTTAGTGGGGATAATTAAAATAAAGAAAGGGACACTAGTAATGGGGATGGCATTAATTGAGTGCCTATAAGAGGGGAATTCGGAAGGAGAAGAAAAAAAGAGGGGGCGGAGAGAGCGGTATACACTCAATATACACTCTGGATACACTGGATATACAGGGGCAGAGAGCTAAGAAAACTTGGAAGAGATTCTGAGAGAGGGAGACAAGAAAACATTCTGAAAATACTGGAAAAAAACTGGAATTTACTGTTTCATTGATTTCTATTTTCTGGTTTTCAATTTCGAATTGGCTGAAACCATCTTCCATATA